GGGGCAAGACGGCGGAAGTAGCTAAGGTCACAGAGAAGTTTGGGGCGGTGTCAGGTAGTAGGTTGGCTGGTAACAGCGAGGAGGTTAGAGAGCGACAGGACTTTCAGAGAGGAATGACGAGGAAACCCCATTCCCTCGACACAGAGTTCTATCGAACGGACCCCCAAGGCTAGTTGTAGTGCCTGTGGCAGGGCTGGGCATTGGAGGAGAGCTTGTCCTAAGCGGAAGGCATCCAATGAGTCCAAACGGGCACGGGTAGTAACTACGAACAAGACATCCCAAAAAGACGAACTTCCGGTAGCGAGGGTAACGGCGTGTGACCGACCAAAGGTCAAGGAGGCGCCTAAAAGAATCAAGCCGGTAGGCGACAGGAAATGTCTTTCGGTTATAGTCGATTCTGGGGATGAGATTTCGGTCATAAGGGAATCATTGGTGGCGGAAACGAAGGAAGAAGTCCAACGAGCTGGACCCTTCGATCACCCGATTGGTGACGGAAACGAAGGGGGAAGTCCAATGGGTTGTATCCTTCGGTCACCGGATCGGTGGCGGAAACGAAGGGACAAGGCTAACGAGTCGGATCCTTCGGTCATCGGATTGGCGACGGAAACGGAGGGTGAAACCCAACAGGGCAGATCCTTCGGTCACCGGATTGATTCGGTAATGATCCCGGTAGGGCTGTGGGAGGAAGACCTCACAGTATCGTGTGAGCCGGCGATGGTGACTCGTGTCGTAACAGACAAGTTACACCAACCCACGGACGCTCTAGTATCAGAAGGGGATCACCGGATGTTATTAGACCGAAAGGAGAAACTCCAGGAGAAGGGAGAAAGACATATAAAGGGCTCAAAGGTAGATGGGAACGGAAACCATCATGGAAAGGAACTGGAACCTTTCTCAGGGGCGGGGTGTAGTGAAAATAACACCGAAAACGAGATAGAAACGGAATTACGAGACGCTCAAGTCTGGGACGAGTCGCTTTCCCGATTGTGGGAGGCCGCTGAGAATAAGAAAGATGGGTTAACTGTAGAGAACGGAATACTATATTGGCAAGATAGTTGGTTCGGCAGGCCCATTAAGCAGATAGTTGTTCCCCAAGATCGGAGAGCGGAAGTGCTAGATTTAGTACACAAAGCTCCGTGCGGTGAACAGTTAGGCAGTCGGAAATCGGCAAGTCGCATGCGCGAGGGCTTCTATTGGCCGGGAATGGCGACCGATATCCGGAAGTACTGCCGGAATAGTCGTAGGTGCCAAGTAAGTGCACCTGATTTAGTCCTGGATAGGATCCCAGCTACACCACTTACTCGGTCCTCAACCCTGTTTCAAGTGGGTAACATAGGCAAGATTGAATCGTTTGATCCCTCGTCATCTAACGGTCATCGATACGCGGTTTGCATAATCAGCTTAGGCATCCGCTTGTCGGAAGTGGAAGGGATGAGATCGCTGTCAGCGATGGTCGCTGGTTCGGTGTTTTTGCAATTCTTTACACGGACGGGTTTTCCCGAACCGATTTGTTACGATCAGGGGACTGATTTCACTGCAGGATTGACGCGTGGAATGACCCGTATGTTAGAAGTAAAGAATGTAGAGATAGATCCGATCAAAGCGATTCCCGATATTGCAAGTAAACACACGGCCGTGAAACGAAAAGAGTATGCAATGCCTTACAAGTTGGAAGCACGGCAAAAGGGATATAACATCGGGGATACGGATCTCGTGGAAAAGTCTTCCCCGGATGACAAATTGAATGTCCGGTGGGAATGGCCCGATATGTTAGGAAAGTGGGGACGTAAAGGAAGCTACCATATAAGGTTTGAAGACGGGAGAACTAAACGGGACCGTACAGGTAGTATCAGGGGATATCGGAAGCGAACTTTCGATGTAGGAATGATATTTTCTTCCGACGGGAAATTCGGTGAACTGGACCAAACTCCGTCCCCGCGACAGCTGCACGATCGCGGACGAGGGGACAGAAAAATACGGGGAATTTCACCGCTTCCCCCGACAGCGGCACGGACCGAGCTGGATGACGTGCCATTGGATTACAACTCGATGTTCGGTAGTAGACCGAAGAAGAAAAACATCTGGACGCTTGCTGGAGGGTGGATCCCGAAACGGTTTACCCCATTCCGGATTGCGCTAGCTTTACGAAAGCGGTTATTAGGCATCGGTTATAAAGGCATCTCTGTGCGTAGATGGGTAAAATTCCCGGATGTTCCGGATGTGTGGGTCAGTCCGACATCGGACGATTTTTGTAAGATTGTTTGGTGTTGTGAAGGGAATCAAACAGGCTTAAGTAAGCTCAGTTTGATCCTCGGCCGTGGAGGTGTCGGGAATAAAAATCGTCTAGCGCGCGGTTTTTCCGCCTTTTTCGTGAACGACCGTTATCGCCATGGAAACGGCGATCAGAACATTTTGAAGACTCGACCGCTGATTGGTTAAGAAACATCGGACGATCGGCGGACGTCTTATACAGCTGATAAATGCTGATTGGTGGAGTTCAATGTAGCTTCAATCCTATAAAAGCAGTGAAGTTCTGGCGGGAAGTTTAGTTTTACTTCGGACATTGGAAGTGAACTCACGCTGACCTTAGCTCGCCTAAGCTGTTTAGGAGATTGTCTCATCTTGTTGTGTTGTTGTAGACTTTGAATTTGTGCGTCGCAAGGTGCTTTTCCGACAGACCTGTAGCAGTGGATGATTACTTCGAACTTTGTTAATATCTAATGTTTGTAATTCTTATATGTGAACTTTAATTGTAACTGTACATACGTTTATTTTCAATATACTTTAAGTTTTTAAATACAATTGACTCAGAAGAAGTATTTTAATTTGACTTGCTAGCTGTCAAAATATATAATGATAATACGGTTTACAATGAAAATGGCAGAAAAAATACGACTAATCCATCTAGTGGTAAAAAAAAAACAAAATTACTTTCCAAACAATCCAATAATAGATTCATCGCAACAAATACAATAAGAGGATTAAATATACTGATCAGATAATATGCATACTGCATTGTATATACTCTGTGCATTAATAAATTAAAAAAGTTTGTTTACTGTTAGCATCGGTAAGTAATCGTTATAGCATTTCATGTTGAAAAAATGACTTATGTGAAAATGTTTTGTTTTGCATGTTTCCATTTTTTTTTAAAACTTACATTATGATTGGTTCTGGTTCATATTATAATAAATAAGAGTGAAATAAATCCTCAAAATATGATGAATGAAGTATTCTTTGGAAATATCATTCTGATTTTACTTCAACAATGTTGAATACTCCAATTCATCATCCAGATTGTTTAATCTTATATTTAAAATTATATCATAAGTAACACGAAATTATTTATATTAAAAAAATATAACTTCATTATTTTAATTAAAACATAAATAAATATAATTAAGTTTGTGTGTCATTGTGATGAACATTTTATATCTATAATATATGCAGAGAATGTGATAGTGCATCCTATCTTAAAAATATGAATATACATCATTATGTAATAATTATTAAATGAAATTTAAACAATTATTATTTAAAAATAAAAAATACATCTTTGAGAAATGTCTATTATACAATTGCAGTCAATATGTTAATAAACTCATTTTGGAAACTCATTATAGGGCTCAATTTGAAAAAATTATAGACCTATAAATTCCCATTGCCATCTGTCTGTCCTTCCTTAATCTTGATAACAATGTTAGATAGATAAAAGTCAAGACCAGATATGGAAAGCTTAGGGACAGGAGGCTCCAATTAACTACAGTGGTACCTCAGGATACAAAATTAATCCGTTCCGAAACTGAGATCGTATCATGAAAATGTTGTAAGGTGAATCATTTTTCCCCATACGATTACACGTAAAACCAAATAATTCGTTCCAACATGAAAAACACACTCAAATTAAAGCTAAGTAGTACATTTAAAAAAAAACCCTTTAGTAAGGAATACACTGAAAAATGCATTTTGTAGTTGTAAATGTATAAATAACCATAATAGAATAATAATTGATAAAAAAAAAAAATGTAGTTTTATTTGCACTTTACCTTTGAGGATAGATAACGTGGAGGTGCAAACTGGTGGCGGAAGAGAGGGAGAAGGGAAATGATACTAAAACTTAACTTACATAACATAATGTAACAGTAACTTAAAAATAACTTAAAAAATATTTTTAAAACATTATTGTTGTTTTATATATTTATAGTTTTTAAAAATTTTTATTTACTGATTTTTGTTTTCTTTCCTTCACTTCCACCAGCACTTTTACTGGATAGAGTCGCTTGGTAAAATATCTATCCAAAGAGGTTTGGCTTTGCCTACTTTTTAAAATGTTTCTAAAATGACTTAGGCAAATGTCATTACTCTGAGCAGCAATACGGCCAGTGTGAACCTTTTCGGGATGTTTCTTTTCAATAAAATCAGTCACTTTCTGATAATACCTCAGGATTTCCTTTATTGAGAAAGATCCATGACGAAGCAAACACTCGGACTGAGACCGATGAACAGTAGTGAATAAAAAATGGCGCTGCGAACTAATGTAATGTCATATGGTGAGTTTTTGTTCGTATCGTGGAGCAAAAATATATTCGAATTTCGTGTCGTATCCTGAAAATTTCGTATGCTGGGACGTTCGTATCCTGAAGTACCACTGTATATATGAACTTACAGTATAGACCAGAAGTCACATGATTTCAATTAACAAATTTTCCACAGAATGGAGTTACACAGATGACTGGCATGACTGTTATCAAGAAAAGCATGATGTACAGGAGCAAGACACTAATAATTTGAGATCCAGATCATATATTTTAAATTAAATAAATTAAAAATATGGTTAAAAATTGCAGCATGACATTGTGATGTCATCACAATAATTTTTGCTCCTTCTAAATTAATTTAATAATAAAGTCTTTAAAATTTCATAATACTAACTTATTAAATTATTTATTGCATATTTTATTAAAATAAGTTATTTAAATATAAACAAATAAATTTCTTACTCTATTGAATACCCATATTTCACCATTAGCAGTTGGTTTGGGAACCCCATGTCCATTATAATGAAACAAGACTCTTTCATCCTAAAAAATAAATATATAAATAAATTATAAATTTGTTACTATATTTATAAAATAAATAAAATACTATACAATATTTTAATTATTTACAATACAGTAATACCCCGAACTTATGCGATAGGTGGAACCGAGTGATAACCGCCTAAGTCGAATTCGCATAATTCAGGGTAAAATTTCGCATATAAATACATACAAATTATTTTTAATTGCAGCCAGAGACTAAAAAAAAAACAATAATTTAGAAAAAAATGTTTAATAAAATCTTAGATAATACATATGTATAACAAATTATATTATTAAAATTGTAAACCGAAGTTATTTTGACGTAGAAGGCTTCATAAAATCTAACAAATTCGTCTGATGGCTCAAAAATTTTTTCCCCCGCAAAATTTCCTTGTAGCATGTTAATAATTTTTTTTTATTTCTCGTTTTGTAGAAGAAATGCACTCTTCGTTGGAGTCTATATTTTCAAAAATTTGTAACCCCTTTTCAATTGAACCGAGATCTTCTGTCAAGTTTCCAACTGTCATTCGATTTTCTGATTGTACTGGGTCTAAAGAATCAAGTTCTTCAACGTCTTCCTCTTACTCACGCATTTCTATGAGCTCATCGATTGCCAGCTCCTGATTGTGGGAATACAGCAGATCTTGAACATCATCACTATCTACTTCTAAATTTATTTGCCCGGCAAGATCAACAACTTCTTCAATCACATTACCAATTTCATCAGCCTGAGTTTCAGTGGTGAAAAAAAGGAGAGTTTTTTCCAGATGCCATTTAAAGGTTTTTGTGAAGCTTCATTCCAAGATTGTCCAATGATTCTCACTGCATATAAAACATTGAATTGTTTCCAAAAATCTTTAACAGAGAGCTCATTGTTTGTCACATAGCTTAATGCATATGTGCAAACATTCATCTCATGTAATAAGCTTTGAATGTTTTGATGACTCCCTGATCCATTGGTCAAAGCAAGCTGGTTGTATTTGGTGGCAAAAATACAACTTTCACACGTGGGTCAAAATTAGTTAAAGTTGTAGGGGATGACCTGGTGTGTTGTCAATTATTAGCATCACTTTAAATGGAATTTGTTTAGATTGGCAATAAAGTTCAACTTCAAATATGAAGTGATGACCAAACCAGTCCTCAAGAAGGAAAACTGCCACCCAAGCTTTACGATTAGACTTCCAAATCACAGGCAAGCCAGCTTTAGATTTATTTTTCAATACTCTTGGATTTTCCGAGCAATAAACTAAGAGAGGTTTTAACTTCAATCACCAGCTACATTCATGCCAACCATCACTGTCANGTATAACAAATTATATTATTAAAATTGTAAACCGAAGTTATTTTGACGTAGAAGGCTTCATAAAATCTAACAAATTCGTCTGATGGCTCAAAAATTTTTTCCCCCGCAAAATTTCCTTGTAGCATGTTAATAATTTTTTTTTATTTCTCGTTTTGTAGAAGAAATGCACTCTTCGTTGGAGTCTATATTTTCAAAAATTTGTAACCCCTTTTCAATTGAACCGAGATCTTCTGTCAAGTTTCCAACTGTCATTCGATTTTCTGATTGTACTGGGTCTAAAGAATCAAGTTCTTCAACGTCTTCCTCTTACTCACGCATTTCTATGAGCTCATCGATTGCCAGCTCCTGATTGTGGGAATACAGCAGATCTTGAACATCATCACTATCTACTTCTAAATTTATTTGCCCGGCAAGATCAACAACTTCTTCAATCACATTACCAATTTCATCAGCCTGAGTTTCAGTGGTGAAAAAAAGGAGAGTTTTTTCCAGATGCCATTTAAAGGTTTTTGTGAAGCTTCATTCCAAGATTGTCCAATGATTCTCACTGCATATAAAACATTGAATTGTTTCCAAAAATCTTTAACAGAGAGCTCATTGTTTGTCACATAGCTTAATGCATATGTGCAAACATTCATCTCATGTAATAAGCTTTGAATGTTTTGATGACTCCCTGATCCATTGGTCAAAGCAAGCTGGTTGTATTTGGTGGCAAAAATACAACTTTCACACGTGGGTCAAAATTAGTTAAAGTTGTAGGGGATGACCTGGTGTGTTGTCAATTATTAGCATCACTTTAAATGGAATTTGTTTAGATTGGCAATAAAGTTCAACTTCAAATATGAAGTGATGACCAAACCAGTCCTCAAGAAGGAAAACTGCCACCCAAGCTTTACGATTAGACTTCCAAATCACAGGCAAGCCAGCTTTAGATTTATTTTTCAATACTCTTGGATTTTCCGAGCAATAAACTAAGAGAGGTTTTAACTTCAATCACCAGCTACATTCATGCCAACCATCACTGTCAATCGATCTTTGGCAGCCTTAAAACCTGGAAAGGTTTCCTCTTCACGCACAATAAAAGTTCTTTCAGGCATCTTCTTCCAGAACAGGCCAGTCTTATTTACGTTGAATATGGTTTGGTTGGTATAGCCACCTTCATCTATCATAGCTTTGAATTTCTCTGGATAGTAAGACACAGCCTGTTTATCAGCACTTGCTGCCTCTCCACTTTCTACAATGTTATGCCAATTACAGCAACTTTTGAATCGGCTGAACCAACCATTACTAGCTTTAAAGTCTTCATCTTTAGCCACCTTTCCAGCATCCTCTTTCAATCTCTCAAAAATCAGCTTAGCTTGAGAGCACACTGTGTTCTGATCAACAGGACAATTTTTCACATTTACTTGATTATCACATTATAATTTTAACATTGTTTCCATCTCAGTTATATTACCATGACATTTATGAATGATGCTTGAATCTAATGAATGAGCATTTTTCACAGCTTCAAAAATTTTTTCTTTACCTTTTATAATTGTTCTGACCATCAATTCCGGTAGATCAAACTTCTTTGCCAATTCACAAATTTTCATTTTTGTATCGAAGTCTTTAATAATGTTAACTTTACATTCCAAAGATAAAGTTTTTCTTTTCTTGTTTGTTGCAGAAGAATCAGTTCTACTTGTTTGGATGACATAATAGTCTCTCAAGTCTCCGTAGATATAACAAACACAGAAATAAATAACACAAAATAAATTGTAGCTATGCGTCGATTCCGCACAAGTAAGCTGAACAATAGGGTGAGGGGAGTGAGTAATCAAGAGTTGCATGGCGCTCAAACAAAAGACAAATTGACGAGGTTTGAAAATCGCATAACTCCGGGTTTGCGTAAGTCAGGGTAGCGTAAGTTGAGGTATTACTGTATTCTATTTTAAAATAGTCAAGTTTAATTAATGAAATCAGATTTTTAGCAGTTTTTATTAAATATCAAAAATAATGAATACAAAATTAGTAGAGTTTTTCAGATTCTTATATATAAAAACTTTAATATTTTTAGATATTTTATATAGCAAAACTTAATATCTTTTAACAAATGTCATTTTTACACATATTGCATTTTTTAATGATATATAAACAATACACTTACCATTACTAAACAATTTAATACACAGTGAGTGATTGGTTAATGAACAATTTGGATAACAAACACCTTCGTGAAAGATTTTATGTTTGGATAACAAACACCTCACAGAACAAACACAAGAAGAAATGACGTAAAATAATGAATACCAATTGGTCTTCCCTTGTCTTCAGGTAACAATTCAAAACTTTTCAGAGTGCAGGAGACGTCGACATTGACGCTCAACCCAGTATATACTGATCAGATAGTATTCTTCCGAACTTTGAAACTCTCCCTTGTAATTCCAGCCTTTTATTTTTCTGACAGAAACAATTTTTTTTATAGTATTCATGAGACTGTCAGACGGGCACTCATTAAGTGTTACATCAGTTTTTATTTTCGAAAGGTGAGAGTATAATAGCAAAGGTAGAGAGTGGGCAGAAGATGTCTGATGTTGCTGGGCAGTATGACTTAAACAGGTCTACAGTAGGCCACAGTTCAATCTTATCTAAGAAAGAAATTCCATAATCAAGAAGACTCAAGCAGCTTAAGGAGTAACAAAAATTACATCTGAGAAATAAAGAACATTAAAGAGCTCATAATGGAACCTGAAACTGATCTGATGACAGAAGAATGCCAAGAACTCTTGAATGAAGACTAAGAAACTCGGTGAAATATGTTTTCTTCTGAAAAAGAGGATTAATGCCGATATCTGTTATTAAACATCTTTTGAAGAAGTGGGAGGATGTCAGAAGAACGGTCTTAGAATGGCATCCAAACCAGGTTGTGACTTGGGGATTTCTACAATTGCAATGCTATTAATTACTTACAAAAAATTCTGAAGAAGAGAGAAAAGCAATCAACATTAGACAGATTCTTTAACATCCACAAACAGAAAAAACATGACTAATAAAAACGCAAGACTGTGTACGTACGTATTTTTATTATTACATATAAATAAATGTAGTAAGAAAGTTTATATTTTTTATTTTTGGGGGTCTCCAGAACGAATTAATTAAATTTCCATTAAAACCTATGGTAAATCGATAATCAGTTAACGAACAATTCGGATAGCGAACAAAATCTTGGAACGGATTATGTTCATTAACTGATCACTCACTGTATATTATTTTTGTAAATAACACAAGTTGTATCTATTTTATGCCTGTTTTCAAACTATCAGTAAAAATTTGGAAACAGTTCTTGTAAACCTTGTAAATCTTGGATCTGGATATTGGATTCAAGGGCTGGGTGGTCTATTAGTTTTAAGATTCCTTTTGTGTCAAGACCAAAAGTGTTTAATGCACTTGATGAAGGTGTTTAATGAGGCTGTAGTAACAGTAAAGTCCAACAGTTGTTTTTCCAAAAAGTATTTTTTTTTGGAAATGTGATCATTGAAATCAACATTTTTGCAGACAATGGTTTATATTATGCCATTGACTATGCTTAATTGTTAAAACCAAGTTAATAGGCAGTATGGCTAGAAATGCATTAGTTGGTGCAATATGGTAAGATTTATAAATATGAAAAGCCACTAAACTTATAATGAATTTTCCTAATTGAGTTACCCCAGATGGCAGCACCATATACAATCACTATTGCAGTACAAATAATTCTGGTAACTCTTGGTGAAAGTCCTCAATTATTATGGGCAACTGAGACCAGTGCAATGATGGTTTTATGTACTTTCTGTTTCACAAAATATGTTTAGTCATTCCACAACAATTTATTGTCTATAAAATGCCAACTAGTTAATTTTTGTGATTTTTTTAATCTTGTTTCTAGTCATAGATAGAAAGTTTTCTGTAGATGGATTGATTTTTACAAGAAATAATGCAGAACATTTATGTAATTTAACAGTTTTTATATGTCTTAGCTCAATCAGAAGTGTACAAAAGATCTTATGTACAAAATCTCATACATAACATAACATTACAGAAGGTCTTCAGTGTTTTGAGCAGTAATAAAACAAAGTTTTATCTGCAAAGCCTTATATAAAACAATACAATGGTAGATTATCATTGATATTGAGTAAGTTGTCATATAAAATGTTCTTAAATCCTCGGCTGAGCAAGAGTCCTGAGGACATCCTCTACATGCTTACCAAATGTGATATGATATATATTTTTTTTCAAAAATCTTTCACTCCAATTAATATATTAAAAAATTTGAATTATGAATGTAATTTTTAATATTTTTAAATTTATGAAATACAATTCATTTATAATTCATAAATCGATAATCAAAGAACTGTTATATGAAATTATGATTTTAATCATTACTTTAATTCTAAAGCAAACAGCATGTTAGAATTAGCTATTCAGCTAATTTATGTTTTTAGCCTCGAGCTAGAAAGATGTCATAACAGAGAGTAAAAAGATTAATATTACAATTTACAAAAATATTTTATGAAAATTATTACAATTTACAAAAAATTATGTATTTATTTTGGAATAAACTGCAAATAAATGAATAATAATCTGTTTTTTAATATTTACAATGACTAAATAAATTTTAAAATTAATATTCTCATCTATTTAAAAGTAATTTTAAACTTATTCAAATGTTATGATTTACAATATGTTTAATATTAAATATTTTGGGTTATTTGAATTTAGCAGTGTTTTATGAATGAATTAATCAATAAGATTTATTCAAAAAAATTATATATATAAAATTAATAATCTGTGTCATCTTCAAAATAAACAAATTTATTTTAATCTATGCCATTTATATAGCATATTTCATTCATTTATTTATTTAAAATTATTAAGTTCATTTCAAAATAATAAGAAATACTATTATAAAGATTTTACTAAAAACATATTTTTACAAATTTATTTTTAACATTAACAAATTTATTTATTTATTTTTAACATTCAACAATAAATCATTCGGGATTCTGAATCAATAAACTTACAGAATTGAATGATATTTTGAAATTAAAAAATGCAATTTTTCTATAACAAATGAATTACACATACCAATAATTTGAATTTCAGATTTTGGTCTCAAACAAGTTCAATGAAGAGAACTTTTGAATCAGAGTCCATTTAGAATGTTTGAGAAATCCTAAGATGGTACAGAAATTATAAAGAATTTGTTATTTAGGTTTATTTTGTAATGAGTCACAAAGCAAGCCTAGATAACATGCAAGGAATCAAGTCCGAGCATTATTTTTAGTTACTTTTATTTTGCTTTTTATTCTATTTTTGTTTGAGGCTTATGTTTTGTTAGGATGAAGGTTTCCTCACCACTCACCTTAGAAATTTAAAACAGAAGAAAGAAAAACCAACTCACCAATGAGAAGAAGCATCACAGAAAAAAAAACTCGTGCACACTTGCATTCCTGAGCAGAAAAAAAGTAAGTCTGCACCAAGAAGAGGGGGGAGACCACACAACTCAGGAACTTGCTAAACCTTAACGAGTAAAACATCCTGCAATATTGTCAGAAAGAATAATGTAAAAGGTTAGTGAGTACTGTCGGGAAATAGGCTGCCAGGCAAAAAGGAAAAGTTCAATGTTACAGAGAAGTATGTAAATGAGGGAAGTGGTCTCAATCAGAATTGTGACGTCACCTCATAGTATAAAGCCCGTACCTCAAGTGAAGATAAGCGAGGTGAGCTTCTGTTAGCAACGAGTGTGGTGAGCTTTGTAGCAGCGAACGAGAGAGGTGTCCGATAGCAATAAAGTTGTTCCAAGGCATTTTGAAGTTATTCAATTTGTGGATCAAAGATTGGAGAAAGTCTTGAGAGTTGAGGAAAAAGGTTCCTAGTATATTGAGATGATGGTTAGGACCTTAGTTCATAAGACTTGTTGTACATAAGTTAAGTCTTTGAAAATTTTGTCAAATTCCAAAGGGGAATAGATTTAAATTAGCAAATAGATTGATTTGAGTTTTGTTGGGTTGATTCTTATTGTCAATTTTCTTTGAATAAATTGTTGTTAAATTTTGTACAGTTATTACTACAATTATTATTAAATATTGGATTGTTTTTGACTAATTTTGTGATTATTTCTTTTGGTGCATGCTTAAAGTCTAGGCCTGGCACATTAACGCAAATTTGCGTTAAAGTACCCGTTAGGTAATGGCTATTTCCGGCACACAGTTTGTGTCGATAATCGTTGTAAAAGACGTAAAAATAACTTAGTACTTTACAAACAAATCCTGGATAGTAGTGGACTTATATTAGTATTCAAATCCATGTTGTGTAGAATAATTCAATCCCAAGAATTAGGAACATTTATAGGGTATACTCTATCAACAAAGCTAGATTTACAGAGTTCAAAGCAGATCATCAATTTTGGAGAAGTTAAAAAGCTCTATTTAGGCTTAGTTTTGAGGCTAAAAGACAAAGAAAGTCATATTTCAGCCATCTTAATTGAAATATGACTTGTTATGACAAGTAAGTAATTAGAGTTTCTAATAAAAGACTAATCAAGGAAACAGCATTCTGAATGTAAAATTATTGTGCTTCCTAACTTTCCATCCAGAAATTATTACTTCCTTGGTTCTGTTTGAATTATTACTTACAGCTGTTAACAACTAGATTGTACATAAACTGTGCAATAAACTCTTGCTTTGTTGTTCTTATACCTTAATTATTCCAATCTAACAGAAATGGGAATTTTGCAAAACTGAGGAAAACCACAAAAAGATGAAGATTTTAATTCTATTATTAATAATGTTAGCTGACAGTAGTGGACTGGCCACTGGAAAAAGAAATTTTCCAGAGGGCAATATGATTGGAGGCCTATATTTATATACATTATATATTACTTAAGAAAACTAAACTAACAGACAAAATACAAGCACTGTCTGTAGTATTAAATTTTTAAAAAAAATCTTATTTTAATCCAGGTTGTCTCATACAGAATCCAACTCATAGTAAATCCATCTATTACTTCAAATTTTAAAATCATTGGCCCTTATTTGGATACAGACTACCAAGAAACAGCACATGCAAACTGACATTTCACTTGATACAATGTGCATTTTGTAACTTCTAATTTTAAAATAACTGATCACACTTTTGGCTGTAGGCCACCATGATCTTTTTTTTATTGTTTCTACCCTGTGGGTGCTAAGAGCCTTTGTTTTCAAGCCCATCATAGGTTCAGTAAATTTCACAATGAGGGCTGCTAAGTGATGAAGGATGGGGCCCAGCATATCCAAGACAGACTACACTTGGAAAAAAATGTGCATACTAGTGGCTGAGTGTATAAAACCATTGATCACTTATTGCAATTGTGGGCTGCATAGAAAACTGCATGCAGCCAGCCCACAGGTTTTCTTCATGTAATACCTAAATAGGAGCCAATTTCTCATAGAAAGCTTTTTCAGGAGGCATTCCCTATTGATTGCCCAAATGTTGCCTTATCCCATTAATCCAATCCTTCAGAAAATTCCTGGGTCATAAACTGTTTTATTATTTGATCAATGAGATATATGTATATATACATATATAATAAAGACATGGACCTATCTTTTTCTTTACATTTAAAATGAACAAGTTTCTGATTTTGGAAAATTAATGTCAAAAATATTTAAACCCTGATCAAAATATATGTTCAACCTAATGTACTGTATATCACAACATTCCATTATCAGCTGGTGGTGCCATGCATTCATTCAAACATTCTAACATCCTAAATGTTCTATTTTTTGAATAATGTTCTATTCATCAATTCTAAAGCTGTACCTGAAGATGACCTTAAAAATAAAGTTGAAAATGTTAATTTTACTAAATTGAATTCTGCTGGAATCTTCTAGTTGTTTGTTTTATTCACTAGTTTTCTTTCCAGTTTTGCTTTATTTGCATTACAATACAAATATAGAAAGTCATAAAACTCTAGATCATATGATTTATATTATGTAACTTAACCTTTCAACAGTGGAATAGTCAGGTATGGTGCTATCCCAAAGTAGTGGAGAATAAACATGGAAAATTTTTAAAGTATTTTTTCATGCATTTTTTCTCATTACAGTTTCAGAAAAAGATTTTGTAAACAGTTATGTCTAGTAAAGAAAAGACTTTTCTTATTGTTACATAATTCATTTTTTAAACACATTTTTTTTTCACAGTAGTTTTTGGCAATACACCCAAAAGAATTTAACTGATATATCTGTCCTTTACCACTGTCACACAATTGCCCTGGACAGATATATCCATCCTTCACTGCTGAGTGGTTAAGATTAAATATTCACTGATGCAATATTATATCAAAATATTTAAAATTTAATTATATAACAAATGTTATGATTCAAAAATTGCTAGAATTTAAAAAAATTTAGTTTTAATTTGTACCAATTTTATTATAATTAATAACATAAAAGTATTCCTATATATATATACACATATATTATACATACTTTGGCATTCTTACGCAAAGAAGTGCATAATTTCTTCACTTCATCAACGGTCGGATCCAAACTTTGTTTATATCGTGCTCTAGGTTGCCAACGTTCATACTGTTTCTGTAAATTATTACCAATTGCTTCTAGTGCTTTTTGGGGTGCAATACCAAGAGGGTCTATATAAATATAAAAATTGTAAAATATTAACTAACAGTATCTGAATTTATTTTATATAGAAATATGCTAAACATGTTAAATTCTCACCAATCCAGCATTCAAGTCTTGCACAAGGTTGTGTTTTAATGATATCTGGAGGGTCGACACCAACATTTAAACAAAGTACTAAAGCTACACTGACTGTTCTCATCTGCAAAAGTTTAATTAAATATGATATAGTGTTAATATATGAAAACAAATAGTGGATGTCACACTATTAAAAAAATCCAGCAATGAGTTGCATAACTTTCTTAGCTATGAGATCTTAAAAAATAAACTTTTATAATTTTAATTACAATATCTATATAAATGGACATGTATGTCCCTATATCTCACTTTTTCGCCAAAACTACACATCTCATGTGAATGGTGTTTGTATGTGGTAGTAGCCCCAAGTCTCCATTCGTGCACCAGGGGGGTTGCGTCTTGACAGCTACAAGGGTGCGAGAGATATGGGGCTGAAAGTGGTTGAAAGTGGCTTCCTATTTCGAATGTTTTGTTCGAATTTAATTCAAATATTGTTTGAATTTGTTCGAACAAATTTGAACATAAAATTCGAATATTGGTTCAATTATAGAACGATTGTAAACATTCCAGAAACGTTGAAAAGAGTTCGTTTGACTTGATGTGAACAGGAGACGTTCAGAAATAGAATCGGGACCAGATGTCTAATTAGTATGGAAACGGGGGACCTAATTCTTGCATTCTGTGAAAACGGGTAAGATTGGCTATAATGTAATTATCTTAATCTTCACTATCGTTACTTTTTGCCCACAAATAAAAACTTAGCAAAGTGGGTCCTTGCAGCTAGATTCTAGATTACTTAGAAAAACAGTCTTTTATTTATATATATATATAAAACTATATTACATACAAATGTACAAACAAATAAAAACCCAGCGAAGCGGGTCCTTGCAGCTAGTAACTTAATAAAATTGTTTGTGGCACCATCTGTTATGAGATTTGGTTGTAAAAAATTTTCTATATTTATAATTATAATGGCAAAAGCTTTATTTTAAGAGTAGGGTTGAATTTTTATAAAAAGTGTAAATGTTAATAATGAATAAAATCTTAAATCCTACCCCTCTCCAGAAACATGTTACCCCCTTTATCTCCCCACCCTCTTGACCTTTCACCACCAAAATTTGGTTGCATGAGTCATGGCACTGCTGGATGTATTCAGAGTCATAGACATAAGACAATCAAATTCAGCCAGTATTTCACTTCTTAACTCAACATGATTCTGGTATATCTCCTGTCTTATTGCAGCCAACGCTTCAGCAATAGACTGGAGACCAATTTCCAGATTCAATGTTGGTGGTAAACGTTGCCTTTCTTGAGTACTTTTCTCAGTATTATTCTCTAGACTAGCGATTGGATCAATTAATGATAAAGGATATTCAAACAAGTGAGAATCCAATGCTGTGACCATACAAAAAAAACAAAACAAAAAGTTTAGTCTTACAATCATTAATAATGACATGACTACTTGATTCAGATTCTGTTGACTGCATTAAATAAACTGAGCTGATTCAAACCGATAAGGGTCAAGAAATCCAAAAGTTGAAGATAGCGACTTACCAAGCTTAAGACAATCATCATTCACAAAGGAAGGAAACTTAAAAAAAATAAATAAATAAAATAAAAAAATTAGAGGTCTAGGAACCTGAATGTCTCTCTCTGAACAATTGGGGTACCACTAGCCTGTGGTTCAGTATAAAAAGTTCTTCAAAGGAATGAATGAATTTGAAAAGTGAATGAAAGATTTCAGAATAATTCAAAAATTGAACAATTATAAATCAGAATACAACACTTATCAAAGAAAAGTAATATACTGTATGCTGAATTAAAATTTTTGAAATCTAATTTAGAACAACTAAATGTCACAGATAAATGGGAACATACACCAGACTTCTAGATACTGTATGTTCACAAAACAATAAATTTTGTATACATTCATGTAAATTTTACTATTATTCTTACATTTCAACTTTGACTATCCTCTGTCTAAACATTAGAACAATGAAAATGAAAAGTGATAAAAATAATTTTTAGATTATTGATCTAGATTTACTAAAGAAATTATTAAAAAGAAAATTACTTTTTGCAAGAAATTTCAATTAAGATTAGAAATTCTTCATATATAAATTAATTTCAATAAGTCAAAAATATCAAATCTGCAATTTTCTATAAACTTGAAATAAGCTGGTTTTTGATGTGGAAATTGTGTTGATATTACCTTTGATTATTGTTTTTGATTATGGCTTATTTTTGTTTGTTTTGTTTGTTTTACTAAACTTATCAAATAAAAGATACTTGTTACTTTGATTCATCACTAAATAGTTAAAATGTACTTTTTTGTTGATTCCTTCCTAACAATTATTGTTCCTTTTAGGAAATCAAAATGTTTTTCTTTTACCATGTTTGCTGCCAGTTGACATAATTCTGAGTCATGTCACAAATGATACAAATCACATCAACTAGTCACACCAATCAGTGAACTTGTTAAAGATTTTTGAAAGTATTTTTAGCTTCCATCTTCAGAAATTTTCACTGAATTAAAACTAGTAAAACAACCAAACACTCTTTGAACATTTAAACTTCACTGTCTACACCAATAACAAATCATTCAAATTTGTAATTAATGTATATAGCAATTTCTCAAATTTATAGGAATCATGATAATATTGTTCTTAGTTGCCAGGTCTGAAGAGAATCAGTGCCCAAAGGCTTTCAGCCAGACTTGTGTATGATGCATATGTCATACTCTTGGGAAAGCAGGACCCACATGCAAGCCAGTTAGATGGATCCCATAAATTGGCAAGCAAATTGTCAGAATGAATAATGCTGTCCATACAGATAAAGCCAGAACTTTTTAATGGCCTAGATAATGGTGAGGCACTCTTCCATTACAGAATAATTGTTTCTGCTTTAGTCAATGTTCAGCTTATGTAGATGACAACAGGACATTCAGCTTGGATCTGAATGAGAATAGTGCTGAATCCATAGTAGCATAGTGTAAGTTTACTACAACTAAAACTTAGTTTTATTCACCCAAATATACTTTTAATATTCAAACCAAAACTAAAATTCAGAAATGTGACACAAAGAAAGTTAGTGCATAGGCAGAAGCATCCATATGCAGTTTGCTCAGTGCATCAAAGTCAAAGTGCCAAGGACTAGTTTCACAAGTCAGTTCTTTATATAGCAGCTGACATCAAATCTTTTACTTCCTTTGTTTTGTTTTTAAATTTATATTTGATACTGATATAAAGTAGTATTAATTACACATTTGACTTATTTTATTTGAATTACAGTTGCTGTCTTTTCTTATAAAGTTCATATATTTTTAAAATTTGTTAGAAACTGTAAAATCATCTCTTTGTAAATGACAGCTATAATATTAATAAATTACCTAATAATTTGATACTAGAGGGAGATATTAGGCATCATCTCTTAATAAATTTAATAATTATAATTTTAATTAAAAGCAACTGTTTAAGCATAGTAAGCATGGTAAGCAGGAGTTGTGAGTTCAAGTCCCACGCCAAGCTGATTTTTTTATTCTAGTAAATCTAAATTCTTTAATTAAAATTACAATTATTAAATTTATTAAGAGATGGCACCTAATGCCTCCCTCTAGTATCAAATTGTTTGGTAATTTATTAATATTATAGCCATTATTTAGCCCAATAGCATATGACAATGGTTGGCTTTGGTGTTATATTGTATTGGGTTTTAGTAGAGTCGTTTCTTTGTAAATGATGATAAATAATACTTGAGAGTGAGAATGTGAGCTTTACAATTGTTACTGTAGTTGTCAATCTATAAATATTCTGTGATACATTCATTTGCCAAATAGATTTAATGGAAATTCTTTGAAATTTTTCTTTAGCAATTAAATAAATATAAAAATAATGGAAATAAATGTAAAATAATTACAAAAGAAAAAATAGTTTTATTGTAACCATAAATATTGTATTGATATCATCATAGCCACATAATAATAAATATATTAAACAGTTTTAAAATCAATATTTAAAATAAATCCATTTTTAATTAAAATAATTGTGTGAAATTACTTTTCTGAAAACAATTTTTATAAGATATTTTCAATGTAAACAAAAACCTGATTTAAATCTCACTATTATGGGTTGGGTTATAATATTAATTAATTCAGAAATACATCTTAAATTTACAAAACTAAAAAACATATTTTTCAAATTCCAATGTGAACATCCATGTTTCTTCTGACTGACAAGGACTAAGCAGACAAGAATATCATCCAATATACTGTATTTTAATACCACTCTTAATGTAAATGCATTTTGAAATTTAGCCCCTCTTCAGTACAAGCCACAATGATACAATAAAATTAATAAACAATTACATTAACTAATAAACAAAACAATATTTGGGGCTAAAGCCCAAAATGCATTTACATTAAGAGTGATATTAAAATATATTGGATGATATTCTCATCTGTTTAGTCCTTGTCAGTCAGAAGAAATGTGACTGTTCACATCAGAATTTGAAAAATACATTTTTTAGTTTTCTAAATTTACAATGTATTTCTGGATTAATTAAAAACCTGACTAATGAACTTTTTAATAAGTACCTTCTGTATACAAAATTATTATTTTATTCATTTATTCAGCAACATTATAATAAATATCAAACAATAATAGTAAAGAGTAAAATGAAGTATATAATTTTTGAACTTGTGTTTTCCTATCACATGTAAAATGCTTATTAAATTAAATATAGTGTTGATATTTTGTAAATTTGCATTTAATTTAAACATGTACAATGTTTTCTTCTAAATAAGCATTGTTGTTTTATTATAGAATGCTATTTTTATTTCATTTAAAATTATCAAATATATGCTCAAATATTTATTATAGTATATTAAACTAATATTTAAAAAGTTTATTAAGGACTATCTTCCAGTAAAGCAAACTGTATGAAGTCTTGACAACTGAACAGATCATCAAAGAAGTGGATAAGATGAGGCCCAGTTTTTCCTGGAGCTCTCTTGTTATTCTTGTCAGAAAGTTATTTGGAGAGATATGATTTTGCATTTATTATCAAAAGCCAAATGCCATTATGATAGATGATGTTTATCTGCACCCAGGAATTGAAAAAGCTCTGGACTGCCTACAAAAGGCCACGTTCTATTCATTAATGAATCTATATTTCAATTACTGGCAGGTTGAAGTGGATAAACAAGACAACAATATTCTGCTTTTGGATGAATTGAATGACTTTTATGTCTAGAGTTTTGGATTATGCAACAGACTTAGTATAGATGGTGTTTTATACCAACATTGGCCATTCCTTGGAAGACATCTGAAGTGAATAAACTCTTATACTTAAAGCTAAGAAATCAGCAATGCATCTATCATTAAAGCAATGGTGACAGATGTTACAATAACAGCCTTGCCTTCAAGTTCCTACTTTCTGAGATAGGTTCTGGTCAGTAGAAATTGAAGAGTCTGACAAATTTTAAGTTGAAGTAAACTATTCATCAAAATCAGGTTCTTCACTAACATCAATTTTGAATTTCTGCTGACCATTGCATATTGAGAATTGTGAATAATAAGATCATCTGTAATAGAAAGTGCTAGGAGACTGATATCTGTGGAAACAGTCAATACAGAGATGGTTAGCAATGAAGATGATGAGTTGACAGCTTCCAAGCAAACAATCTGATTTCAGTAATTGATAAAAGTGTTGGTCTTCTCCAGAAATTTTAGCTGAGGATTAAGTTGTGACTGCAGTGAGATAGAATGAGAAACTCAATGGGAATGGTGAGAGAGAGAGAGAGATGGCTCTTACTCGGGTGATAAATTGACTGAACACTTCATCACATTTACACTGGAGATGGTCAGTAAAGCTTTAGTAAAAATATTACATAGTTTACATCTCAGTTTGCTGGATATAACAGAGACTGCAGTCCATATCAATAAGTGCTGGGACTTCAACAGTTCCCTAACTATAATGGAGATGAACAACAACAAACAAAAGCAATAATGACAATTGCAAGATTTCAGCTCCCTACCATTAAAGGGTACCCATATTAGTTTTCTGACAGCTGAAGTATGAATTCAGTGGCTCTGAGCAGCAAAGTCAATGATAATCAATGGGTCATCAATACCTGAAATCTCACTTAGCTGATGCTTTATGGTTACCACTGAAGAGTTTTGTATTCATTGAAAGATTCTTCTGGAATTGACAAGTTGCTAGTCTCCAGCATTTCTGAATAACAAGGGAATTGTGAATTAGTCATAATGATGTAGCAAAGAATTAAGGATATCTTGGTGAATTATTTTCACAATACTGTTGTACATGACTGGCTTGACTTTGAAGCAGATGGGTCATTGTTGTTCATCTCAACAATTCAAAATTATTCTTTTAATCACTATATCAGTGTATTTCTATTAATAGGACTTATCATAGGACTTATCATCTGTACAAGATTGCAGACTCACAGTTACACAGATTAAAATTGTTTTATTTTCAATTACCTGTTACCAATTACCAATTACAGGTAATTGAAAATAAAACAATTTTAATCTGTGTAACTGTGAGTCTGCAATCTTGTACACCAGTATGATAAGTCCTATTAATAGAAATACACTGATATAGTGATTAAAAGAATAATTTTGATTAAATTAAGGACATAGATGCATATTAATTATCTCAACAATTCATTTAAATATCATCAAAATTGATAAGAATCTTTTTTGTAACACTGCTACCAGTCAGCAAAACACTTCAGACAGGAATGAAGCAGTGATGACATACTGGTTCATCTATTGGCTCAGGACATTGTAAAACACTACTGGTATAGTGCTAGAGTTCTTATTAAGAAACTTCTCAGATCAGCATCACTAACAAGTAAGTTGGATTGTTCTTCATTAAAACTGGCAATTACATTGGGTAATCTACAGAATTTATAATTTTTCTCATTTGACAGTATCAGTTTATGATTCAATAACAAATCAAGATGAAGGTGGCAGAACTCAGTACTACTGTGGCCAACAAGAAATTGAATAGATTTCAGTAATACCTTTTATCAGATGTTTTAATCTCACTGTCTAGCACAGGGGTCGCCAAAGTGGTCTATATCGACCCCCAGGGGTCGATGCAACATCATTGGGGGGTCGATGCGGCTAGGGGGTCGATTAGGGGGTCGATGTGGCAATGGGTTACAACCTTGTTTTTTTTTCTTATACAGATATCAGAGATCACAACGTATTTTATTTTGCTCATACACTTACACTTATAATAAAACTTTACGGTGGGGGTCAATGTGAGGTTTTGGAAAGTGGTTGGGGGTCGACAGTTAAAAAAGTTTGGCGACCCCTGGTCTAGCACCTGTGTGTCAACTTCTCAACACCAGCCTGTGCTGAACAACTTGCTGTCTTTCTTGGGCTCAGCTCTATAGATATAGCTTGGCATTCTGGCTGACTCTTAGTCATGTTCAAAGGTTCCTCAAAAGCATTTTAAAAAAATAGCTAATTGATAATTTAGTTTCTGTTCATTAACCAAATCCAGAAATGCCTTCCAGGATGACAGACACTGTCAAGCTTATCACTACATTAATTATGAAGTGCAACTTTGATTAAAGACTGATCTAGATGTGAGTGTCATCATTCTTCTCACTACGATGCATTGGTAGACAACAGATCAAACAATGAAAGGTTGCAGATTAGTCAATGTGCCTATGTGGTGACTTGTTTATGGAATGGTTTTGGTCTCTATTGCCATAATAAGCCTTCTATAAAACACAAATCCAGAAACTAATCCTTTCAACATGCCAAAATTTTGTCCAGGTATATGCTTTTCTACCCAGAGCATCACTAAAATGTGTCACAGAAAAGTGACAGGAAGAAGCTCAGACATTACACAAAAAATAAACAGAACAAGCTAAAATAACTGAAACAGAAAAAAGTCAATAATAATTAACTAGTACTAACAACAAAAAATAGGTACAGCTGATTTAGTCAGATGCAAGAGTTCCAATATATAATTATATCATAAGCACATTTATCATTTAAATATTTTTTTAAGCTATGCCATGGCCTCAACCTGAATGTTTAAATGTAACGGTATATTGGAAAGGTTAACTCATAAATTCAGCTAAAGTTGTCTGTTATAACTTTAAGTTTAATTATTAAAGTTTTGATATTTTAATTAATAGCTGCTTCTTTATGTAAGCTAATATAATTATAATTAATTATTTATTTAATAAATATAATTGGTATATACTAAAGTTTTGGCACACTGCCTTGAACTTAAACTTGAAATTGGCTTTAATATATTTAATTGATCATCAATAAAAGATCACTTAAAGTGTAATATTTTGTTGAGTTTGTTAACTATATTAACATTCATAACCTATTGCAATAATAGAATACCATAACATACCTTTCAATTATCCAATGGTTTGATTAGATATGTAATAAATAATTCAAATTCTTTATAAACTGCATTCAAATTTCTCTCTTTTATAAATTACTAAAAGCTTCTCAGAAGCTTTGTATACTTCTATAAAAGTAAAGAAGAATACAAAACATAATTCATAAACTTTAACATTTTCTTATTCAGCAAATTTTTTTATATAGTGCCAATGGTTAGTTATATTAAATGCATATGTCAGCACAAATTTTTAAAACACAATTTTTGATTGGATATAAGCAATGAGAGCAAAATGCCAAAGCGAATAATAGAAACAAATTTGAGCATAGTTCAAGTGTCTAAACATTACAACTAAATCTTATCTCTGCAAAACAGTTTTATATTTGCTAGAACAATTTCTACGTAAAAATAGTTTTTACAGAAACTTGATTCTGCAGTCAATTTGGTAGAAAACACACTGTTTGCAAACTGATGATAGAGAAGATAACCATTACCAAAGTTTATTTGTATCTATACTTTAAATTATATATATATTTTAAAAGTGTTATTATTCAGTTGTCATCTAACTAATTTATAAATNACATATTTGGATCAGCTAACAGACTATTTCCATATTCTGAATTTTGATTAGCTTATAGAAATATATACAATTTTTTTAAAAATTGATAAAACAAAAATAAACAAATACAGTGGTGATAGTTCTTCATATATAAAGTAATTGTTTACAGTTGAAATTTAACAATAAATGAATTAAATTCATAAAATTAACATAGTAAAAATAAATTGATCGTTTTTATATTTCCATTTCTCAATGTAATAAAAGACATTGAATATTGAAATAAGATTTACGTGACTGAAAGGATTTGGACTTCAATTGAAATATTTTAATGATTAATTTCAAAAATTTTCTTTGAGATGTTTAAAACTTACTCTTTCTTTCATCCTCCATGTTTGTGTAACTGGATGACCACCAATAATTTTTTCTGTATGTCTTTTGTGAGAGAATGCAACGGGCAATTGCCAATCAGGCAAGTCAGAAATATCATCTTCAATTTCATATTCTTGTAACATATACGACATTATTTATTATTACATAAAATAGGCATAGAAATCGTACGAATTCCACCGATTTCTTCACTAATATCACTCATCGAAGACGGCCATATATATTTATTCTCCGACACATGTATCTCGAGAACGAAGCATGGTTGATAATCACATGACTATTTTAAACGTTCAAATTCCCTTACGTAATAAATATTTTATTAAATAAATATTTCTGACATAAAATAATAATAAATTTCGAATTAGAAATTTTAAAGTTTATATCAATGAAATTATAATTTAGATTCCAAAGATCATACTGTACTGATTACGAACAATGTTAATTAAAAATGTTTACATAATGAAATAAGATTATTAAATATTAAATAATTAACATCGTGTATTTTTGACAAAATGGTGAAAAATAATATATAGGCTTGTAAATTTTCTAAAACATATTTTAAACTATACGTGTTAAAACAATTTTGGATGTTTGATTCGTAAATTTCGTTCAACATAGACTTGAGAGAAAAATCAGGATATCTTTTAAGATCAATATCGATTATCGTTAAGATACATTTAAAATTTTAAAGTAACATATTTCTGTATTATATTATGTATATGATGCGTATTATCATATCGTATTATATACTAGACATATATTTTTTTAATTCTCTTCGCCTATGGGCTATAAAAGGGACTTTTTAGCAAGCTGATTGTGGGTTAGGCCAGGCTCACAATGGGACAGCCGGGTGATGAAAGACCCGACGTATCCGGACAGATCACCTTCCGAAAAATTTCTGGTGTTTTTCGACTCGCCCGAATTCGAATCACAATCCTCAGAACAGTAGATTGTATTGTAACTAAATAAAACAGTCGATTTTGACGAATTCCTGCTAGTTTATATTTAAAAGCAACCCTTTCGAAATATATTTCCATTAAAATTCCAAGCACATTCTAGTTGACTGGCGAATGGCCAAGCAGTCAAGGTGGCAAGCTACTGCTCTGGTGGCTTGAGTTCGAATCCAGACGAATCAAAAATATCCCTAGAAATTTTTCGTGGCCCGACATATCCAGTCGAACCCCGTCCCTCACACCCCATTGTGGGCCTGACCGAACTCGTAATAGGCTTGCTAAAAGAGATCCTCTTAGTGTCCACAAGGAGAAAATAATTTTTTAAAAGCATATCCTAGTGGCCTAATACAGTACTTAGAACATATTCAACTTCATTTAAAATTAAATATTGGCCATTTGAAATATTTGAAAAGATACGTTGAATTCAAAAAGATAACGGGTTTTACTGCTTATGCTAAAGAATCAACTTCAGAGATTTTTAAAAGCGACTTCACCTGAATGAATTGGGCTGTTTCTTGGTAGTCTTTTTAATCATCTCTCTGTCATCGTGTAAAATCATAGCGAAGAGATTTAAAATAAGTTTTAAAAAATATCTAGTAACTAATTCATTTCAGCTAAACAATTCTGAATCATCTTGGAGTAACAGTATAATAAAAACAGAGATTGGCACTGAAATATTGACAAAACTAATTTATTTTAAAAATCGTGTGATTTATTTTCTGGTGTTGAAAAGTACACGAGAGAATGTTACTAATAAATACTTTTTTCTTGCAGATTCTAAAAATCGAGTCAGTTGAGTTAAAAAATAAAATGATTTCTAATTTTATTATTTAAACAGATAAACTGTTTAAATTTATTAATGTTAAAAAATAATGCAGAAAATATTTTAATTAACGTGTAATTAGGAAAAAAACCGGAATTCGGAATAGGAGTGAACAATGGGTTGTTATAACGGTTTAAAAAAAGAAAGTAAATTGCTAGATGAAGTGCGACGCCAGACATGTTTGTCTCCTAGACTTAACATTGTACCTGTACCTTTGTGGCTCCACCATGCCCAAACGGTTGTGAATTTTTCATTTATGATTGCAATGAACTCATCTACGGTGCCAGAGATTTATTTTGATACTTGAACCATATTTGAACCCTCAGTTCTGTCAAACGAAGCTGGACAGTATTTGAGACTAACAAAATTAATTAATATATAGATTATAAAACGTAATCATTATATTATCGTAAGCAGCGATTTTTTTAAAAGCTTTGTTCGATTTGCGTTCGAAAAAATTCTGCTTCTCACATCTTTTTACTGTGTTCAAACGTAATATCTATTGTGGAAATCTTTAACTTGGCAACTTAAACGATAATATTACATAGTATATAAGGAACATTCCTCTAAGTATGTTACGTTAGAACATACTATTGACCACATCTGAATGCTACTTCTGGTTCACAAAATGATAGTTACATAATCCATAATGCGCAGTACCTAACGCACTATGGATTATATCATATCAAGAGGTAGAACGGCTGATTGAAAAGCATATAGAAGAAAGAACAAAGTACAAATTCAGAGAAACAGAGACTTATAACTGTTGTCAGAAGACATAGTACCGACCCTCTGGACCAGTGATTCCCAAACTTTTTGAACCACCGTTTCTTTGGTTCCATAAATTAATATCCAATGACTCCAACCCTACTACAAACGCCCCGAACTCGTTTTTCTTGTGTGAGAAAGGCTTGGAAAATATTCTTAGAAAATTTGTGTCCTTATCATGTTTTCCATATCTGTAAACCATTAAACGCAGTGTTTCTTCTTACCCGTTTTAATAGAGGAAAGGAAAGGTTGTCAGTGACCTAACTCCAACGACCTCTATCGCTCCCTATATTTACTCACCGCCCCCGGAGGGCAGTAGCGTCCACTTTTGGAAACCACTGCTCTGGACGAATACCTTTGCGGAATTGCACACAATCTGCATTTCGGTGCAATTAATGTAAACATCTCTGAATTAGAAAACGATGTTAATGAAGGAGTGGTATTGTGAGTTCGTGAGTCTAAGTGATTTATACTAGAGTAACTGTTTAACTTGTGACTGAAATATTTTTGAATAAGCATATTTAATAGTACCTCATTTGATGTAGCGTTCCTTGAAGTATGTTTCATCTTAGGTGTCACTCTTTATTATGTCATTCATTTGAAATAATTTAATAGTAAAAATATTTCTAAAGAAATCATATATATATTGAAAGGAAATGAGAATAAAGTAAGCATTCATTTTTTAAACATATAAATCATAATAAATTCAATCCAAAAAACTGAACGAAAAGTAACTAATTGCTATATCAAAAACTAAAAGTGTTTTTGATATAGCAATTAGTTACTTTTCGTTCACTTTTTAAACTTTAGTTTTTTGCATTATAAACTGAAAATCTAAGTAATCATGTCAATAAAATAAAAAAAATCGTACTTACGTTTAATACTTTTATTATAGTTCAGAGCTTTCGTTTACTAGCATTTTTACGTGTCTAATTTAATATTTCCACAACTTTCGATATTTTCTAGCAAGTCAGTTTGGTCGCGTTTCTTTATGCACCCGCTCGATCTCTACACAGCAAAGCGTTTCTAAATGAAGTCCTATCATGTAGAGAACGGTTTCTAAACGTTTGCTGCAAGCGGTTGCTGCAGCAAAGATGAAGCAGTTTTTACGTCCGTTGCACGTGCAAAACAAAATGGATCCTTGTATATATAATGAGATATTATACTGTAAAAATAAAAGTCATAATGACTGTTGATAAAAATATTATGAAAAGATTAAGAAGGATTAAATTTTCTAAAATGACTCTGAAAGTCATTTAAAGAATAGAAAAGTACGATATCTTAAACATAATTATCCATCTCCTGTGTTTTTATTTTGTTCACATTTCCGGAATGAGAAATGTTCAAATATATATATTTGAACATTTTTGAAATATATATATATATATTTTTTCACTTGAACGAGTATAGGTTTACCGTATTGGCTCTGCAAAGTCGTAATCTCGTCAGGTTGGCAGGATTGAAGGACATGAGTCGTATCAGGCTGCCAGATGGGTATATAGATTCCTAGATTCTAGATTTCTAAATTCTAGGTGAAAAATGACAAGCATAGGAGCATACAATTTTTTTTTTTTACGCCCAGAACAATTGTAGGCGAATTCTAAGCAAATTTTCACTTTTCCAAAAAAAATGGTTAAAATTGCTAAATTTAACATACAAATATGAGAATTTAGCCAAAAATTTTCCAAAATTTGGTGCAAAATTGAAATGAATTTGGGTATGGGACAATGAAAAAAATCTGGCCGCCCTCAGTATTATTTATAAGTATGTACCAATGCTGTATTTCTTAACAGTTATAATATCTGCAATATATTTCAACTTGTATTGTTATACAAAGTACACAAGAAATATGTTTGTCGAAACTGACTGATGTGACTCGGAGATTACTTAATTAAGTTGACTTACATTTACAAACCCAACGAGTCACTATAACTTACAAAATTTTTAGGCTAGCGTATGCTCTGATAGTTAATACTCAACTGATATTGAACAATATAAAAATACATTTTGAGTTTTATATGTCATCTCATCATCTTATACGAATAGTACTTTATTAGTTACCGTTAAATACTAAATTCTAGAGCGCACTATAAACTTAAATATTTTATGTACAAAATAGAATAAAGAAATTTTAAATTTGCGTCTTTTCTTAATAGCAATTTCACTAATTATATCAATAAACGACACTTTTCGTAATTTTTTGTTTCTAATGGAAAGAAGAAATTCTTTCCATTGAAAATAATTGTTTTGTATTGATTGTAGGCTTATTGATAATTCAGAGAGAGAATTGTTTTGTACAAGCTAATAGTGAACCGAAGATAATTTTTTAGGCTTTTCACTTTTGAAAACGAATGATCTTCAACATTTGTTTTAAAAAATTAAGATATATTTTAAATGTAAATATTTATGTTTGAAAAACTTGTAACTAGTTTGTTTTCTGTTCGAGCGGTTTTTGTATTCCATCATAGATATTTTGTTAGCTTACTGTACATACATCTCTGAGAACAATAAAAGTTTGCTGACAAATATATCCGTTAGATCTCGGATATTTCAATTAATGCCATTACTTTTCAAGGTAACCTCGTCGGGAACATGAATTTGTCAAGAAGAAAATTAAATCTTTTATGAAATGGTAGGCTACTCCTGTTTTACTAATTTCTATTATAAATGTATTTGTTATGTTCTAAACTTGTTGCTAGGATCCAGAT